GCATCTTCGCACGGGCAGCCCGTGCGTTGGCCAATGTTTTAACTACTGCATATGCCGTTGCTTTATGTTTTGCAATATCCAGTTACCACCAATTTTTTGCCCAAACTCTTAACTACTCTTGGTTTGAAATTTTTATCAGTTTAGGCAATACACTGAAATTTAAAAGACGGCATGAGGAACGTGATCAGTATCTGGAATAGCCAACAGCTTGTTTCTAAGCAGCCCTTGGAAGAAAAATCCATTCGAGTACTTTCACCTACGAACAGCCGCAAATATCAAATTAGCCCACAGCCGGGCCCTCTATCTCTAAATCTCGTGAAATATTGATTTCTGAAGCGATGCAAAAGAAGAACAATATTTTAGTGGCTTACACTAATACCAATAGCCGCATGTACCATTCTTTTATTCAGCAGCACAATCTGGAATCCTCGCTGCAGACGCTGACAAATGAGTTGATCGAAGAGAAGATTTCGAAGTCGTTCCAAGTCATCGCATTTCGGATCACCCAGCCATTCACGCATGGCATCCAGATATACCGGGAACTGATGGGCCTGAAAGAAAACAAACAATATTTTATGAACGGATTGGCGTGCATTTCTGCAGAAAAGTGTGACAAAAACATTCAATAGACTACTCCAACGAAATAAAAATTATTATCATTCTAAAATGCGTCTTCAAGCAGAAGTTAAGCTTTAAAAATCCTTTTTAAACTTTTCGATACAAATTTTTTTCAAAAATGTCGAAAATTACCTGAACAAAATAGTCTTCTTTAATGCTTCGTGCATCCGGAAAAAAGTCAGTAGTCAGTGGGAGAAGGGCTGTACGTATGAGTGACTTCCAGTCAACGCCAATTTCCAAATCCGGATTCCACTTTTCTTCGCCAGTTGAGCCCCAAGCCCAAACACATTTCTTTCCACCTGCTCCCAATCCTGTCACCCTAAAAATCGGCCTTTCAAAGTGAGCTCTAAGTATCAAGTGAGAACGTCAAATTCTGGTTTATATGGAAATTTTTTTAAAAATTGTTCTGCTACCAGTGATGAGTAAAAATGAACAGTGACCGACCTGCCACTAGCGATTTCTTCATTGAGTGGTGGAGATGAAGGGCGTCGTGATGGGGATCCAGCGATATTTGCCAGCGATGGGACAGATGCTTCACTGGGCTCCATTTCATCAGTCTGGATAACAGTCACAATACTCCTGCCGGCCACATAGTGGTGTGCCAATTTCGAATGCCCAAGCTTATCCACAGGGAACACATGGATCCAGCGACGTCGATTTGCCGTTATCCGTACTAAAACACCACTTAATTTGTATGTTCAAATATAACAATTTTTTTTTTTTTACTCCGAGATTTTTGGCTCATCTGGGATTTGAGGGCGACTGAAATTAAGTGAG